GACGTATCCCTGAAACAGACACACAAAGTTGGTGCCTAATGCTCTTCAGTCATTTTCTGAACCTAGCACGTCTCTCCTTAAGAAACAGAAAACATGTGCCATGTTTCTACCGAGTTTTAGCATAAATCTACTAGCCTTCTATCATGAATGCCATTCGCTGATTGGCTACGCTGCTCACTATCCATTTTGTTGTAGATCAGTAGTGGGAAGCCTAGCAAAGTGCAGTTGTTATCAAAATGACGGCTAATTCTTTGTGTTTTCAAAGTGTCTGTGCAGAAGATTTAGATAAAGTTTTGAACGACCACAGTAAATTTAAGAACCTGTTAGGCTAAAATTTCCCTATTAAGCACCCTTCACATTAGAACCATTCAAGGCTGCAATCTCAATACAGGTCCGTATTTTCAAAACATAGAGTTTTTTTTTTCAAATATAATACAGTACATCACATGCGATACAAGAAAAGGTAACAAAAACTAGCCAGAGCACTGGCAGTGGTATAGGACCACAATACTGTTCTGTGAATGATTCAATATAAAGGCCACACCCATGAGTACAAGTTAAAAATAAATTAAGAACTTGATTAAGAACCTAGATAGCCTAATTTCACAGTAAACACCGTTTATATAAGAACCTATGGAGGCTAACTGGAAAAAACCTAGGTTCTTATACATGGGTTTTTTACTGTAGTAGATTTTTACTGAAACAATTAGATTATTTGCTCTCGATTTCCATGTCTGACAGTTGACTCGGGCTGCGCCTTCATCGACTATCATGCGATTGAAATCTCTAGCTCACAATCTTATTGTTAAATAGAAACAATTTTTGATCAATCGGCGCGCATATTTTTCGGGGCTATTTTCTGATTAACATTGACACGATCTCTCTGAAACATGCAACACAGAGAGAAGCGTAGAACTAAGTAATTAAAGAATGATAATTGTGGAACAAATGGGGAAAAGTAAAATTCCCTGGTTTGTCAAAGCATTCCACACTTCCACGTGAAAAAAAAATTACTTGTGGAGTTATGTCAAAGTGTAGAAACCAAGGATATCATGGCCAGTATTAGACATTTATCGGTCGGCCGAGCCAAAATTGTCTTACTGTTTACAGGGAAAGG